CATCAGAAACTCGGTGGTGTAATGGTATAAGACGGCGCATATAGACTGGACGGTAGGGGATCGAGTCGTGAGGGAGTCATGTATCAAAGACCTTTTTTCACTAAATTAAGGTTAAACTGATTATTTCCAATAATTTGATTATCATTAGCTAGTAGTAGTTGGAAACATGGTAGAAGTAACTGGAAATAAGGTAGAAATAGCTGGAAATAATGTAGAAGTAACTTGAAAAAGGTAGAAGTAACTGGAAATAAGGTAGAATACAAGGTACGAGTACTTCCTCTGGTTTCAAGTTACTTCACGTGGTACAAATTACAATCAGGGATTGGCTGAATACCTCATGAATAATTAATGAGTTTTTGAAAGTTGTTTCATGAATATGCTGTGTTATGCTCTAGGCTAAGGAAGGGGCAGATCCAGGATTGTCTTCAAGGAGGGGACAGGGCACTCAGGAGGGGTTGCATTCCATCAAAACATGAAGGATACAAGGCATCAGGAGAGTGTWTGCACCCCCCTGGATCCGCCCCTGTAAGGAAGGGTGTATACTCACACCTCAATAGGAGTGAACATATTGACCATCTGTCTCTTTCCTTGACCCAATTTGACAAATGGTAGCTATTACCATTRCTATCATTGTCATCACCAAATAGAACAAACTCAAACGGCTTAAAGAGATCCTAGTAAGGTCATAAGTGCACACTATAACTGTGAAATAATTCATAATCAAATAGTGCTGAATAGTCTCCATCACAAGTATGTGGGCGATGTTGAAAGGTAGCCGTGCCTTTACATCAAAGCGAGAAAACCATTGAGCGTGCAATGATAGAAACCTGTGCATAATTGTCTGTAGGTGTAAAAGGTTTCTATGATTGCATCTCAACGGTTGTCTCACTTTGATGAAAAGGCATGGCTACCTTTCATGATTGCGCAGGTGAAAAAGACTATTGTATTGAATTCAACAAATTTCTTTGTTTTTTACTGTYTATTTGGTCCTTGAGTTGGTTCTATTGGGTGTTCTTACCTGGGTGTATTTCAAATTAATTTTAATTTTTAAGATTAGAAAACTTTGCAAGAGCCTTAGTTAAAAAGCTTCACACTTTGTAGAGCCATTTTATGTTAAAAAAATCTATCTGAAATTACTTGATTGAAAGAAAAGCTAAAAATATCGAATGCACTATGAACAGCGTATGATAAAAAYTTACAATCAAGTGTATTACTAGGCAAGAACATTTTGAAAGTTCACAAAATTATTTATTTTTCACCATTTTTCCAAAGTTTTGATTGTGCACACTAAGATTTTTTAATTTACAGAAATCCTTAAATAAAGTAAAATTGTTGTGCTTCTCTTTTTTAAGTTCATTACTTTTCATGCCTCATTGCTATTTGATTCTCRTCTTGATTTTTTTTTGATTTTTCTATTTGCTCAGTCACTAACTTGCATTSCAGTCAATAAATCCCTCTCTTTCACTCTATCGTTCATTTATCAAACCATTTACATGTATGTATTAACACACTCATTCATCCTTCATTCAGCTACCGCGTCAATCATCCATTCTTTTACCTTTCTTTGTTTCATGCATCCATCCATACATTCAATCATTCATTCAATCATTCATCCTTCCATTCAGTTAATTATTTAACCACTTATCTAAACAATCATTCTTTTTTTCAGCTTCATCTCTCTCATTTCTTTCCACTTTCCATCCTTCCACTTCCCACTCACTTGACCACTTTACCTGGGTTATATACCCACCTATACCCACCATAGACCATGATGCTTAGCGAAGCCATGGGGGCATACATGTATATGCATATATAACGTTKCCAAAGATTGCGCACTTTACAGTAAAAACACTGCAAGATTCGACAGGGAGAAATAAATGTCAATATCTGACACGAAATAGATTGAAAAATCATTAAAAATACCAGTACAATTCTTTAAACCTTGTCTTACCAATGCGCTATGTGTAGTTCGTTTGATTTTGTCTTACCACTGAAGGACAGCTCGCTACACATCATCAGTACACACAATTAAATAGTAAATTTAAAGAGTTTACTTCTCTAATGTAAAATATTTCAAAAGCGTGAGCAAATCCTACTAAAAATTTGGCTCTATTTACAGAATTATTGAAAACTTCATAACAAGTCTTGAATTCTCAAAATAATTTCAAAATCTTTTTTGTCTTGTTTTTTTGTTGTTTTTGCTTTGTACTCTTTTTGCATCTGAAAAAAGTTAAGTCTGAATATTCTTGGTTTCAAGAATTGAAGTCTTTTGGGTTGTATTATCAAACATTTCCCCAGCCAATCAAAAACCAAGGAATCTTAATCCTTATCTTTGATTGGTTGGCTATATTTGACATGACTGACATCTGTCAAAATCACATTTTTGCACGAAAGTGAGGTTTGATATGTTTTAAACCAGAGACTTTTGCTTAAATTCTGAATTAGTATTTTGCTGTTTATTGGCTCATAAAATACATTAAGCTAAGATAATAATGAAGTTAGACATTATAATATTAATAATAATATGATTTACTTACAATGCATGTCTCTTTCATGTTCGTACTCTATGAAGGCATAGCCTCGSGGTTTTGATGACTTCCTGTCAACCACCATATTGATCTAGAAAAGGATTAAACCATATGGATTGTAAAAAATGCAATGCTGTTTTGCTGTTTGCATGTACGTAAAAGTGTCGTAGGGTGAGTCATTGACTTTTGTCAGTTACAGCAGAAACCGTTGCATCGCGAGTTCGATGTTCAAAGAAAATACTTGGGATTTAGGTTTTTTCTGCGACTTGGGGGCGGAGCTTGATACTAATCAGCCAATGATTGAACGAGTTTTCGAAAAGCTCTGCCCCTCAGATTGAAAGAAAGAACAAAATCCAGACAAACTTCAAAACAAAGAGGTCGCGATGCAACGATTTCCACTGTAAATAACAAAATACTAGGACTCAATACAAAGCCTGACTTTTCTACAACATCCCTACAAGCTATATTCAACTAAAAATAAATCAGCCAATTGATACCATGGACCCTAAACTCAAGAGCCAGGTTGATCAAAAGCCTGATTAGCATCGATTCAAGGTTAACTCATTGGTTTTTTAGAGTTAATCTATGATTAGTGATAATCAAAGACAATTCCTTGGCAATTAACTATGAGCAATGTTAAACTTTTGGCAATTTTGGTTTTTAAACACCAAATTGTGGCTAAGCAGATTATTTGATATGATTTTGATTTTAATTCCCTGGCGTCCTATGGAGTAATGCTTTAAATCCCTGGAAATCCATAAGGGTTGGGCTGCTTGAGAGTTTCAATTGAGGTTTTAGTGCTTTTTCTTTATAGTTTATTAGTAATATTGTATAATTTAAGCACTTACAATGTTTATAGGACCATATATCTCCATTTCTCGTCTGAGTTTGGACTCTGAAGTATC